TTGTAATCTTAAATTTTAAGTAACATGCATCAATAAACAGTACTTCGTGCATAAAAAATCGTTTTTAAGAGTTTTTGTCAAATGCTTTATAATATAGTATAGATAATTTAGATTTAGTAACAAAGAAATTTAATTTAGGTTTAATAGTATATTTTTTTATAAAGATAATAACTAAGTATCCTGTTAGTTATCAATGATTATCCTAATTATATTTTAGATTTTTTATATTTAAAATGAGATGTTTATCCAATATTTGATTATGTTTATCTGCAGTTAGTTAGACGAATTTAAGTATGAAGTTTTAATAAGTTGTACTTATGCACAATTTACTTGTAATTAAATTTTAAGTAATATGCATAAATAAACAGTACTTCGTGCATAAAATTTTTTTTTTACAAGTTTTTGTCAAATGTTTTATAATATAGTATAGATAATCGGGAGCATATTTGGATGTTTAAAAACAACTTTTTCATTTTAGAAGCTTTAAACGTTAAAAAAATATTGTTCCAACAATTATGATAAGCAGTTCTTTAAAAAAAAGATAAATTAAAGAATAAAAAATCTATAAATTTAAAAAAGTATACATAAAATATAGCAACCTATCGGAGATGCTCTTATGATATCCTTCTTGGTAACTTTGTCGTTAAATCAACCCTTAAGGGGCGTTTTGGTTCGCATATTCTAAAAGAATCTGATAGAATTAGAATGTTGAATTTCACTGACCAAAATTCATTCCCTCTTTTGGTTCATTCTTTTTTATGGAATCTTCAAAATCCTACAAATTACACAAAGAAAAGAATTTAACATTCCTTATATTTTAGATTTTTTATATTTAAAATGAAATGTTTATCTTGTATTTGACTATGTTTATTTGCAGTTAATTACATGAATTCAAACATAAAGCTTTAATAAGTTRTACTTATGCATAATTTATTTATAATCTTGAATTTTAAGTAATATGCATTAATAAAAAATACTTCATGCATAAAAAATGGTTTTTAATAGTTTTTGTCAAACGCTTTATGATATAGTATAGATTCAAGTATGTAAATAAAAATACATATACATTGATCGTAATTTCATTCATATAAATGAGTTTACAGATATTTTGATTATATATATTGAATACATACATATATATACATATATATATATATATATGTGTGTGTGTGTGTGTGTGTGTTCAATTATTGTTATGTAAATGATAAATAGAGTTATGTGGGATAAAGAACAAAAAAATTGGGTGTAACCAACGAAAATGAATAATCTAATTAATTTAATGTTTTGATAATAATTACATCAATAAAAAAACAAAGTTTGAGAAAAATAAAATTAGATTGTGATGCCTAAAAATGTCACTTTATTGTTGGTGTTTTTTCTTACAAAATTACAAATTAAAAAACTATAAAAAACATAAAAACAAAAGTGAATCTACAACAAAAAAAAAAAAAAAATCAAATTTCTCACAAAATTCTAAAGTCTCAATGGAGACTTCTCCTTAATCCAAGTTCCGATGCTTTCTTACATATATTGATGAACTCGTGCATACTTTTCTGTCATAGATGAGAGATGAAAAAGAAGAGAGAAGAGCGTACTAGTAGTTTAAAGCTCGTACATGGAGATGGAGAACACATAAATGAAAAAACCCAGAGATTGATGGATTTAAAGATTGAAGTTGAAACGTACCAAAAGAAAGAGAAGAGTTTTTGAGTTAAATGTGAACATTAATTTGCAAAATTACTAAGAAAAAACCCAGAGATTGAGGGATTTAAAGATTGAAGTTGAAAGTTGAAACATATTAAGAGAAAGGAAAGAGTTTTTGAGTTAAATGTAAATATTAATTTGCAAAATTACTAAGAAAAAAATCAAAATATGGAAAAAAGAGGAAAATAAGATCTTTACGTCGAAGAGATGTCACGTTAACCTATCATGATTCTGTTTTATAGATATATATACATATATAGATTACAAGCATAGGTTCCTCAAATTCAATTATAAGCGTCATAGATTTTAAAGAAACTAAACAACTTTAAAAATAATAATCACGATGTTAGTTATAAGTTAAAACTAATGATCCCTTGAAGTTTAATAGAAAATCGTTATGACATTTTACGATAAATTATGGTTTTAAGATTTTTCCGTAAGGATATAATTTGTTAGATTGTTTATTTCACCTTATAATTTATTGTAACATTTTTGTATAAGAAACACAACTGCTATATTTTTTAAATTTAAGGGACCGTTTATCAAACACTTACCCGGTAAACATTTACTGAGAAAAATTAACACTATCATTTACTTACCGGGTAAGATTTTAGTCCATCAAAACGGTATCGTATGCAACAATTACCCGGTAAGCACTTACCATGTTAAGAGTCATTGCCTTCACTTACCGAGTAAGACTCTTGATCTTTGTCTCACTCTAACCGAGTAAGATTCTTATTTCTTACCATATTCATCCGGTAATATAATGTGATTTGGTAAGTACTTACCTTACCAGGGTAAGCGTTTGGTAAACGACTGTGAGAGTATATTAAATACTCTGTTAAAAGGGAGTTGTAAGGACCATAAATGTAATTCACTGAAAGTTATTCGAGCGTCCACTCGGCTTCAATATGGGCTAGTGGGCGTGTTTTCCTCGGCGAAGAAAAAGAAGAAATCGTCATGGACAATTGCGAGTGTGATGATCACTTCGTTCTGGTATGTATACATATACTTTCTATATCTAATCGCATTTAGTTTGCTGAATTTCGTTTCCTTGATTGTTGAATGTAATCATGCCTGTGCAAGTTTTTGTGATGATTGCCCTCGAAGTGTTTGATGAAATTTCTGAATGGGTGTAACAACGAGTTGTTTTTGTAATTGAATTGGATTTAGGTGAAGCATAAGTAGGTGTTAAATTTTAAATAACTGGTTACTTCAAACGAGTGAAGCTTCAAATTTTTTATGTTTGAGTGAAAAACGGATCCATATATGATTACAAAATCCAAAATGCGTCTTTAATTCTGGAATGTGGTAAACTGGTAATGGCTTATGAGTTATGAAACCTGCAAAACTGGGTTTGTTGTGATGTCTAAGAGATGTGGCAGCATTAGTTTACAATAAATTTTTAGAATAAATGATAGACAAATCTATCTTCTCCATTCTCTTACCTCAAGAATTCACATTCTGTATCTATATACAAATCGAAAAAATTTGGGAGATCAAAGGAAAGAAATTTAGATATCAAAACTCACAGTTTGGAGAATGGAGACTCTGCTTCTGAAGAAGAAGTTGAAGAAGAAGTAGAAAATACTTGTGTTCGGTTAAAGCAGGTGCATCTTGCATCATGAATGGCTTCCGTCCTAGAGAAATCAAGTTTGGTACAGAACACACAGTACCTTCCTTTAGATGGATCACCTTCTGACTCGTATTCGCTTTCATCCAAGTCCTCGTTGCTGTCAACTGTCTCCTTTTCATCATCTTCGTCGTCATTGAATAAAACACACGGCACATAATGGATGCCCAGAGCCAGACAGATCATTTTTACAAGCTTGTTTGTGTACTTGTCCCAGAAGTATCTCCCTTGCTTAGACAACACAAGAGGACCCATAACAATGGCTGCTCCTGCCCCAAATCCTACCCCAGTGACTATGAACTGCCAATCAATTCCGTTCTTAGATTCTTTGGAATTTGGTGCATATGTTGGTCTAACTGAACTATTGCATTTGTTCAATGGAAAACCGCATAATCCCTTGTTTCCTTTATATGATGACTCTGAGAAGGTCTGAAACTGGGAGCCTGTTGGGATTCTTCCTTTCAGTTGATTGTTTGACAAATTAAGCAAAGAAAGGAACGAAAGAGTAGCGAGCTGTGATGGGATCTCTCCTGTCAGTTGGTTCGATGACATGTCTAACGATTCTAGCTGACTCAAATTTCCTATAGATGATGGGATAGAGCCTTTGAAGTCATTGTGTGATACATTGAGAAGATACAGTTCCTTGAGTCGCCCAATTGCGCTTGGTATGTTCCCTGAAAAATGGTTACTTGAGATATCAATGGATGTGAAGAGCGTCAGGATTTTCACTAGCTCCAACTCTAGTCCTTTGACCGTGACCGTCACAGTATCCTGGTAGTAGAAGTCATTAAGCTGTAACACCATAAAGCTGAGGTGTTCCTTACGTGATTGTTCACCACTCATCATAGCACTCCATTGCCAGAAACAATCTTCTGGGACTTCACCACTAAAGTTATTGAGAGCTATGTCTAGAATCTGAAGTTTTTGCCACTTGTTGTGTGGACCTTCACCACAACGTACAGACCCATGGAACCTGTTCGATCGCAGAACAAGGACACGCAAGTTGGTATGGTTACCCAAAAAGCATGGATAAGTGTCGTTTATCCTGTTGGTCCCAAGGTTTAACACCTCTAGCATTGTGCAATTGACAAGAGATGGCGGGATCTTCCCTTCCAAATAATTTCCATGCAGGTCTAGAGTATTCAAGCCGCAGCTGCTCGGAAAATTTCCCTTGATTCGACCACTGAGACCATTGTTTCCCAAGTTCAGCACCCCAAGGTTGCCACCAAATTCAGTGAAACACAGTGGTATCCTTCCGGTTAAACGATTGTTTGACAAATCAAGAACCTTAAGGTAGCTAGCATTGCATATGGTATTAGGGATCACCCCAGTGAGTAAATTGTTGGAAACAGAAAAGAAGTAGGCCATACCAAGGCTTAGCCCAATGCTTTCAGGGAGATCCGAATCGAAACGATTGTCAGAGTAGTCGATGAAGGTAGCAGTTGTTGGGGGAGTCGGAATCTCCCCACTGAGGTTATTGAAATGCAAGTCAAGGACACTAAGATTAGAAAAATGATAGGGCTTTTGGAGGCTGGTAAAGTGGTTATGAGAAAGGTTCATATACGAAAGGCTTCCATTACCAACAKTCCAGATCCAGCTTGGTATTTCTCCATCAATTTTGTTTCTGGAAAGGTCTAGATTTATCAATCTTGATTGGTTTTGTAGATGAGGGAACTTCTGAAGATTGCATGCAGCCAGCTTTAATGAGAACAACTTTGGAAGATGAGACAAGCCAGAKATAYTGCTGTTTGTTATAACAGACAAGTTGTTGAATGAAAGATCAAGAGTCGTTAAGTTGGTCAGACTCTGAAAATCTTTGGTTTCTATCTTGCCAYTCAGCTTGTTTGACGATAGTAAGAGGATGCTAAGCTGTCGAAGTTCAAAGAAAGACCTRGGAATTTTTCCTTCCAGTTTGTTACTGCTTAAATCAAGAGTATCCAACAAAGATGCAGATGCATTAGAAAAGTTRGCTARTTCACCATCRAAATYGTTGTTGGAAAGYTGTATCTTTTGCACTARCTGCAGAGAGAACAGAGATGAAGGTATGCTTCCATTGAATGCATTAAATCTKAGATCCACTAGAACAAGATTTTGAAGATCTTGGAAGTGAGCAGAAGGGATMAATCCTGATAAGCTGTTCCGTGAGAGGTCAATATGGGTAAGATTCTTACWCAGCTGGAATGATGGGATTTGGCCAATAAAGCTGTTTGATGACAAGTCTAGGTATGACAATTCGGTGAGGTTTTCCATGGACTTTGGGATTMTTCCACTGAAATTGCTCTYGGACAGCTCGATCCGGGATAAGTTCTTAAGATTTCCAATAGAATCTGGTATCCCCCCTGAAAAGTTTGTGTTKCTGAGCACTAAAATTYGAAGGGATCCGTTCGTAGGAAAATGTGGTAAAGAACCATTAAGATCTGTATTAACTGATAAATCCAGAGTCTGTAAMCTCYGCAAYTGGAGGACCTTCTCGGGAAATTTTCCATTCAAATGGCAAGCACCAAGATGCATAACTGTCAGATTCCTGAAGTCTGCAAAGAAATCTGGAACTGGAGCACTCAGATTGTTCAGACCTAGACGAATTATAGAAAGTGACTTCAGGTACGCAAGGGAGTCATCTAATGGGCCTGAAAGTTGACAATTTGACAAGCTCAAAACTTCCAGATTAGGCAAAGACGATGATAGACTTTGGCACCAGTCAGATTTTTGTGCCGATATGTTCACATTATCCAGATAAAGACCTTTAAGCAATGTGAGGTTCTGAACAAGCGTGGTTAGGTTCGGTTTCTCAAGTTTTAGTGAACGAATGCCGTAGGAGAAAAGCGAAGAGAGATCAAGAACTTCCAGGCTTGTCAGCTGTGACAATTCTTCAGGAATCTGGCCTGAAAAATCTGAATTTGACAAGTTCAAATACTTCAAACCGGCAAGACTCCCAAATCTGGAAGGAATCTGTATGAAATTGAACTTATTTCCTGCGAGATTTAGGTTCTCAAGATTCTCTAGATCGAACAGATCACTGGAATCATCAATACCACCAGATATAGTTTCGTTGCTTAAGTCTAGAACAACAACCTGGCCTCTGGAGTTGCATTTGACACCTCCCCAGATGCAACAATCTGTTGTGACATTTGGGTTCCAAGACACCAGGTTTGTTGAAGCTGAAGAATCGAATTGAAGTTTGTTCTTCAACTGGATCAAGATTGATTGCTGGCCAGTTTGACATCGACCAGAAACACCAAACAAGATTAGATAAAAAGATATCAAGAAAATCTGAAAACAGAGATGGGTTCTCATTGGAAACTAGAATTCCAGACACCCATATGATGTTGCTATTAAACCCAGAAACTAAAATATCTCTCTGGGTTTGAACCAGAAAATTCTCTGGAGTGTTTGTTTAACCAAGAGTTTTTGACCAGAAAAAAGAGAGATAAAGGTAGGCTTGAATATTGCTAATGGGAGATGCTTGGCGTTGACCATGGTGAATTTCATAAATACCGTTTGTTGTAGATTGATATATATTTCTTTTCGATTAAAATATATGTATTTTATTATTTAATGTTTTATTAAATCATATCTTTTTGTGAAACATTAAGTAGGGAGTTGTTGAATAATAATGGTTTTGCCGTTTATTTTGACGTGGGTGAGTTGGGTGATGGGAATGTTAGTGGCTTTTTCTGTACATGGTGACATAAAAGAATGGTTGGCAACGGCCTCCTGGAGACTTTTACGTGTGAAAAAGGTTTTTTTTGTGTGTTTGGTATATTATTTGATTTTCATTAGAATAAATTACTCGTTTGTATCTTCATTTATTTCATGATAAACCTTTATCTATGTAATTTGTTTCGAATTTGGTCCTTCATACAGACGGTCGTCACCACCTTCCGTTATGTTTAGGGTAATATGGTCATTTCTTTGGTTTTATTTATTTTAATAACTTTTTTTAAAATGATAACCTAGCAATCACTCCTCTCTTAACGTGGAATGTTCAATATGACCACCCTACCCCTCTCCCTGCTACAAACATAGATCCCGACATCCCACACCCACCTCCGATGTTAGGGATGACGAATAAATCTACCCCAGAATTTGAGACCAGCACCCTACCGCATCCTTCCGGGAATCTGAGACTCGGCACCATCACCCACTTTACCCAACTTATCCTTATGACAGACCACCACCACCTGCAACTCCTCATCTATTTGCTAACCAGCTGGTCTCACCCATACATCTCACACACATGTGATGGTTGCGATGGGGGGTACAATGTTGAAGGTGGTCACGTGTATGGGAAGGGGAGATTTCACACCGGAGGTGGTAAGGGGAGAGAGAAAAGAAATCTAGAATCGTGTAAGAGAAGAGGAAGTTTGTTTTCTTTTTAAACAAGCATATCTTAGAGAAAAGAAAAGGTAAATTAAAATTGGTTAGAGACTGAAATGTCCTTCAGTATAACGGAGAAGATAGACGGACTTAAGGAGAAAGTACAAATCCAAGACAAATCACATAGTTGGAGATATATCATATAATAAATGGAATAAAGGACCAAATCCATAACAAATCACAAACCGGGACCAAATATGCAATTTACTCTTTTCAATATTTAGTTTGAAATTTAAAATTCTGAAAAAGATTAAAGGTTAGGATATTAACATTTGAAATGAAAAATGGGTATTAAATTAATATAAAAATAAACAACAACTATAACTTTCTAAAAGTTTGTCTTATATCTGCCCAATGACAAATGTTAATTTGTTGTATTAGATTGTTTTTAGAAATATAAAATTTATATTAATTATAGTTTTCTAGTTTAGATTATGATCTAAGTTTTAACAGAACCTTAATAATGAATCCAGGAAAATGTCTCATGGTGTATGTTATATATTTACACCAAGGATCGACATTAAGTCCTTTTATCTGATTTTTGGACTAGCTCTCCTGAGAGATCCATGGAAGCGTTTCATGGTGTATATTATTCAGTTATGGCATTTGTGTTGGTAGCAAAGTCAAAAGTGTATGTCAATGAGAGGTTTGAGTAGTGGAGGACAGGTTTGGAAACCAAGGGTTTGCGAATTAGTAGTTCTAAAAAAAACAGGATATGTATGGTGCAACTTCAAAGGGAGTTCAGATAGGAGGGGATATAAGTCAACATTACCGAGTAAATGGTACCCAAAAAGTACAGTTTCAAGAATACAGATTCCGTAATTCAAAGAGGGGGAAGAAAATGAAAATTGAAAATGTAACGCGTCAGATTAAAGTAGGATGTCTAAAGAAAGAGAGTTGTAACAGAGATGTGTGACAAAAAGGTTCCACTAAAATTGAAGGACAAATTATATAGGATGGCTATTTGACCAACCATGTTGTATGGGTTGGAATGTTGGACCACAAGAAAGGCCATCCAGAGGAGGTTGGAAATTTTAGAAATGAGAATGCTTGGTTAGACATGTAGTTAGACCAGGTCAGACATAAATTCGAATGAGGTTTTCTAGGTGGGGGGGGGGGGAGTTGCCCCAATAACAGGTAACTTGTGAGATGAGAGATTGTGTTTGTTTGGACACATGCGTAGGAGATGATGATGACACTTGGGACGAGAGTAGAAAGAGTGAGAGTCAAGGAAGTGAGGAGGAGGGGTAGGTCGAGCAAGACCTTGGGTGAGTAATTAAGGTTTTATACGTTTAGACATTTTTGAGGAGATGATCCCGATAACTTGGAGACATAGGACAATAAAAACAGGTTTGGGGATGTAGAGGTTTGGTAGTTTAGATTAAAGAGAAGTGTATTTTTGCCTTGTTTTGTGTGTTTGTCTTCCTTATCTTTCGTGCTTCATCTATCATATGAGTCATTATTTTTTTATACATGTTTGTTCACAGTTGTGCACAAGTCGAGTGTCTTCAAGGAAACAACCGTTTTAGCCTAAAACGTCTGCATACATCTTACCTTTCCAGACCTTACCCTCGAGTGGATGTAGTGGCATGTTGGATTAGTTTAGTTTATTAAAAACCAATCCAATTTCCCACTTCTTTTTCCCCAACAGATGCATATTTTTACCATTTTTAATATATAGTTTTTGTGCATCTTTTTAGCAAATAAATAAGTTTCTTTTGTTCCTTTTTATGGAGAAGTTCACGTTATGTGGGAAGAGGTGATGAGGAAGGTATGCTGATGCAATGAGGGATCCTTAATGAATGCATCTCATAGGGCAGAAACAACGAACATCATTTTATTAGATCTGATTTATATGTCGTTAGGCCTTTTATAATCATAATTTCTCCCTTACATTTTCATCGGGGAGTTTTAGTACCCTTAGAACTCATTGTCAACGAGAGACATCTTTGATTAGGTTTGTTTATTCTCATATTAAGACGCTTAACAACTCAATATAATTTACTTTGACTCATCGCAACCATACATGTTTTATAAGCACGACAAGTAAATGAACAAATTCAAGAATATAGATAACAAATTGAAAGAATTGAACATAGAGAGAGAAAGCGTGCAGAAGAGCATCAACAAGAGCGGAAAGCGTGAAAATAAGCTTTTTAAGAATAAATGGATTACGGGTTAAAGGCTTTTGAAGATATGATGTTTGCCATATTTCCACCCCTTCTCCTTCATTGCTAGTAGGGTTGTTCATTGGTTGACATCCATTGGATGTGAGAGGAACCGAACCGAACCGATCCAATCATCCATTGGATGTTGGATTTTGCCAACCGATCCGATCTGATTAACATTTGATAACTGGTCAAATCCAATCCAATAGATGATTGGATCGGTTTGTTTCCATTCATTGGATGCTTTTATTGGATATCCAATGGATGATCCGTTGGAATTTGATCCATCCAATATGTTAATTTAATCTAATTCTCCAACAATGATACAAATTGATTAATCACTTTAATATGTGTTAAAACCAACACAAGGAAGTTCAAAATTCAAAGCCTCACATAAAACAAATTCCGAGTTAAGCAATTTGAAAATAAATTAATTGGATTATAGTTGGATGGGTAATTGGATGTTGATCAGTTCGGTTTTGGACTACCATCTGAGAACCGACCGATTCAATTTGGATGTTGAAAATTTCAATCCGATCCAATCCAATTACAATTGGATATCCAATTATGGTCGGTCGGTACTAATTGAATCAACTAATTCCAATTGGACCGGTTGATTTTTGCACATCTTTAATTGCGAGAATTGAATTTGGTTACCAACAACATTTTTATTGGATTTGAATATTGTATGGATGTTAGTGCATTGTCATATGTCGAAGTTTTGTATATGGATAAAATCATAATAAATAGGAAAGGAATCCGTAAAAGTCAACGAGACGTACATAAGTCGACATAGCACTGTGTATATCTTCTATTTGATATTGTTGATATGACTTTATTTTGTGTATTAAAAATAGATTTCATGATACATTTAATTACATAAAATAAAAAATGTATTTAAAAAAATTATATTATTAATGATAGATTAAAGACAAATAATTGACATAAGTAGTATTATGGTTTTCAACAACATGGTTATCGACTTCTTCGGTGATCTGTCGGAAGATGATCCGTCAGTAATCGGGTGGAGAAAAGAATTGTTGGTCATTAGTCGGTAAATGTAGGCATGGCAACGGGGAGGGGATGGGGCGGGTTTTGTAATCCCTGGCCCCAGTTTGTAATAACGTCCCCCGGCCCCGGTCCTCGGCGGGTACGGGGATAATCATCCCCTCCCCGATTAAATCTCTAGCAATCCCCAGTCAAAATCCGGTAAACCTCGATCAAACCCCATAAATAGTATCTTTTAGTTTGATTCTACCGGGGATCCCTGGCTCCGACCCCGGCCCCGGCCCCAGTTTGAGTAACATCCTCCGTCCTTGGCCCCGTTCCCGGTTTGAGTCTGCCTCGGGACCCATTTTAGCGAGGAATCCCTGTCCCCGTTTGGGTCGGGTGAACCAGGTTCCCCACCGGGTCGGGGCAAATCACCATCCCTAGGTAAATGTATTTCTGACATAAAGATTACTGATGACTCTGTCCTTGAGTAATTTATCGACAACGGTAATATGTCAATCACATCCTGTTGGTAATATGTCAGTAATCTATACTCCTTTATAAATTAAAAGGTATCATTTTATAAGATTAATGTATTAATTTTAAAGCTTCAGAACCTCTATGAGGATCTCTAGATTTTAAATCAAATCATATTTAATTTTTAAAGTATATTTTATACCCTTATAGTTAGTTATTTAATTTACTTTATATCTCTTACTTTTTTATTTTTCATTTTATACCATCATCATATTGTCATAA